TTGTCAAAGAGGTTGCAATTCCAGCAGCACATAGCAGGCTTCAACTTTGAAGACTTCTTGTGACCTTTTCTACCAGAGGAGTATCTTCACATATGGACATATCAAAAGATTCACAGCTTTCTTCTATTTATAAAGGAAAAGATAATTTCTTTATTGATTTTACTAAGTGAATTATAAAAAAGTCAACATATAAGATATAGGTTACAAAAAAAATTTATTATAATAGCCCTGGTAACCTTGATCCTTCATGTTGCTTTTACTAAACTTACCACTCATTGCTTCCAATGTTACTTGCCCAAGAGCCACATTGAGCTAGTTTGGAAATGGTGAGTTTCTATTAATGCTTTATGGTAAACAACAGGGACAACGGCAGCATAGTCAAAAATTGCTAATCTTTCATTATGAAGTTTTGATGGCTTACGGTCCCTAAACCTGGACATGATATACCATTCTTTACCACAGACCTATATCTAAATAAACTACAAGTTCTTTGAGTTTGGATGGACTATTCTTAATTAATCAGGGCTGTAGCTTTCAAGTTTGAGGCGTAAAACTCCAAGCATAGACTCCAACAAAGCATGATCAAGCTAGGCTTGAATAGCCAGTCATTTACTTCAGTATCGTAAATAGTTGATTTTGGCTATTAACTTATTATTTCTTTAAGAATAGAACAACACAATGTTATACAGAAAATAATGAGAACAAGTGGAACACTACTTTACACGAAACAGCTACTTCAAGCGTATCGCAGTAAAAGTAACTCAAAACAAATGACAAGGTTCGTGAGTTACTTTGACCTTTGGATGCTCTGGAGAGTTTGACTTAGTAGCTCATGGAATTGTTACTCATTATATGCAATAAGGGGTTTCTCTAACAGTTAATCATCATGTGCATTAAAGCTTTTCTCAATAAATGTTACTCATTATGTGCATTAAAACCTATTCTTGAGTAACTCTTTCTTCTCTCTCTACAAATATAGCTTTCACAATTCCAGAAGAGACTTTCAAAACTAGTGCAATATATTTTCACGCAGATCTTCTCTCTCTAAATATTCTCTCCAACCCTCTTTTGCTTAGTACTTCTCAACTTCACTCTACCGCTTGCCTATTCTCTATCTATTCTCAATCTTACTCTACTACTTTGACAATACGGTTACTTTACCATTTGCTTATTCTTTACTTATCCTCAATCATTACACTTCTATTCATCTATTCTCTTCTGCCTGCTACAACACTCAATATTTCAAGACCAGCTCTTATCTTCCTCTCCGATGCCTCTTGCACATCTTTTTACTTGTTTGCAATATTTCCTCTCTCCTCAGACAAAACCCCTCTACAAACAAACATTTTTTGCACCAAATCTCAAAATAGCCAGTCAGGCTTCAAGAATTACAAACCTGAGTTGAACAAATCAATCCACAAGGGAACAAAGTTTGAAGCAAACACATTTTGATTCTGGTTCTGAGCTTCCCAAGTCTGAGATTCCTGATAGAGCATCAAAATGACAAAATTTTAAAGAATGTTATAACTGTTTGGTATCACCTTACAAACTATGGCACTTGGATACAACCTCGCATGCAGCATTATTATTGAGCCAATAATCCAGCTATTGTCCCATCTGTTCATTCCAAAAAACAAAGTTGAATGCTTTCTGTCTTGTCTGAGAAGCTCTGAGGAAATCCTCTGCAACAGTATTCTCTCCAACAACTTTTGCAAAGAAGGCAATGTCTAGTTCCATCTAGATCAAGA